AAAAAAAAAAAAAAAAAAAGTGGAAAAAGATAAAAATTTGTTTCTTGTAAATGGTGCAGATGATAATCTCAAGCATTACGTTGTCCTCAGAACTTCCAACTTGCACCTCCAGCTGCCTTGCTGCTGCCACCTTGAACTCAACAGGTCATGAGGGGAAACAGACAAGGACTGGGGCTCAGGAACAAACTATGGCTTAATGCCTGTTCTAACGCTAATGAGGTGTTCAAGGTACTCTAGGTCTCAAAGTTTTATTTATTTATTATTTTCTTTAAAAAGAGAGTTTTGCTCTGTTGTCCAGCCTAGAGAGCAGTGATGTGGTCATGGCTCACTGCAGTCTTGGACTCCTGGGCTCACGAGATCCTGCCACCTCAGTCTCCTGAGTAGCTGGGATGACAGGCACATGCCACTCCGTGCAGCTATTTCTTTCACTTCTATTTTTGTAGAGATGGGGTTTTGCTCTGCTGTCCAGGCTGGTTAGGGTCTTTCTGGTACCCTGAGAATGGTGGGGTTGGGCTAGGTGGTCTGTAAAGGCCATTTCTCCTCTTCGATCTTCTCTAGTTTTAGGTTTAATACCTAATTTGAAAGCACTGTCTCACCCAGGCTTTCTCATTCTCTCAAGGTCATAGACATTATATCTAGGTCCTGAGAAACCTATCTTCCTCTCCCATTAATTTTCACCATCAGTAAATCCTTCTTCTTTTTTAACATCCAGAGAACCGCCTCCCATTCCCAAGCCTATTGGTGCTACTTTAAAACAAATTTATTAGATTTATGGGCCCCGTGTCCTCTGTAGCCAGACTGTCCGGGTTCGAGTCCCGACGCTACTAGTTGTTTGGTCCTGGGATTTGGGGCAAACCGAGGTAAATACATTGCCCCGACCCGTAGGGAGCGCACGGAAAGGTTAGTTCCTATTCTTCCTAGTTAGCTGTTTTGGTGTCTTCCCCCCAGCAACGGAATCGGGCAGTTTAACTCTGGCTAACTCTCAGGACTCCGAGGCTACGGCTGTGCTGCCTGCTTGGTCCTCGGAGCGTCAGGGTGTCGCCGACTCTGCCCCAGAGCCCGGCCGCCGTCCGCTCACCTCCTGATGATCCTCCACCACCCACACAGGGAGCTTCGGGTAACGTCGGAGGCCAGTGTGCCATCCGGCGGTGTCACTCATGTTTTTGCGCCCGTCAGCTTTGCAGCAAAGCGGTGGCAGCTGGAGAGTACCCGGGAAAGCAGGAGCCTGAGTCCTGCTTGCCCTCTCCGGGCGGAAGCACGCCTTCCCCCGGTTGCGTTTTTGGATTGGAGAATTTAGGCGGAGGGAGGGCGGGCTCCAAAGGGTCTTTTACTGACTATTGGTCTAGACGTCCATCGCTCTCTCTGACGTGCCAATCACCGCGTACAAGGCCCTGCGGTGGGCAGAAGCGTTTTTCTTCCCTTGGCCCAGCTTTCTCAGGTTTGCTTTTTAATTCCCTCGGTTTCCTGTTCCGGAGGCTCGGGCGGCGCCAGTGTCTTGGTGCCTGCAGTAGTAGCCTGGCTTTGCTCTGACGGCGATCTCGCGGCCTGAGAGCCTTTTATAGGTAAAAGGGGTACTTTGCAAGTGCTAGAAGACAGTTTCCGAGTGTCAGAATTTAAACTGGAGTCTCTGGGCTGGAGCCTCCGGGGCTGGGGTGAAAGGCGTCCGGGAATTAGGGTCGGGCAGCCCCACTTCCGATCTGCAGCTAAGGGCAAAAGAACGACCCTAGGCCTGGATTCCGCAAATAAATGAAAGTGAAAAAGGAGACCTTTCATTCATTTGTGGAGTACATGCTGTGGTCCAGGCCTGGGGCCGCCCGGCTCTCGGAGGGGAGCAAGATCCTGAGCTCAGTCCCTGTCTCGTGGGGCGCAAGGTCTGGCGGGAGATGCAAACACTAAGCATGCAGTTGCAGAGCAGGATGAAGGTGACTGCCCTGCAGATCCACCTGGGGAAAGAGGGAGGTCTCAATAAATGTGTAGTCACACTTTACAACTCTTATTGCGTGTACTGGCGTTCCTAGCCGTGTTAACTATTCAAGACAGTTCCCTCAGTGTCTCTGCTTTCAAACAGCAACTGAGAAGAGACGGAGAAAACAGTTACTTTTCCAGGTGCGGTGAATTTCTTGACTTTGGAATTAAAGTTTGCATTCACAACACAGCCGGATTGTGCTGTCAATAGGTCAATTTCATGATTAGTATTTTTAGATTTTCTGACTACAGAAACATCCACAAGGATCTGGTAGTGAATATTGAGCTGTTGTTACACACTGTACAAGAGTGTTTATGACCCTGACTTTTGCCCACCTCTAGGTTCGGCATACATCTTTGTGTTCCCTAAGCCCTACACATATCTCTTTTTTTGTGTTTATTGCATTATTTGAAATTTTTAAAAAACTTATTTGTATGTGGGCTCTGAGTTCCTTGAGCCCTACAGGCTGTGTGTCTTTCTTATCTCTGAGTCTGCAGGGCCTGGGACAGTGCTTCCCATGTATGGGCTCATTAAATGTCACATGAATCAGTGAAAAGGTCTGCTTTCTGTTGTGGAGGTACATGGAAGGGAAATGTACAGTAGCAACATGGAAACATACTATTGGTGAGACAGTAAACATTTATTGACCACCTACAGTGTGCAGGATGCTTTTCCCGAAGGATACGGGATACAGAAATGACTGAATCAACCCATGTCATCAAGGAACTGGTAATCTAGTGGAGGAGTTAGACATTTGCATACTTCACCATGATGTGAGGCAGCCTCTGGTAAGTGCTGTGAAAGAATTAAGTGTAGACTAAGTCTAGAGGGAATGGGATTACCTAAGGGAATCAGGAAGGGCTTCATAGAGGAGGTGGCGTTTGAGATTGGTAGATGGATGGAAATTCATTGGACAAATTCCTAGGTGGGAGGTTTTTTTTTTTTTTTTNATGGAGCTTCTCTCCTGTTGCCCAGGCTGGAGTGCAATGGTGTGATCTGAGCTCACTGCAACCTCCGCCTAGGATGGGAGATTTTAGAGAGGAGAGTGGGAGGGAAGAACTAGCTGGTTCTTTGTACTTGTATGGTAATCAGTTGGGAAAATATGGGGTAGTAGGCTCTTTCTGGAAGTACTGGAGAACAAGCCTGGGTTCAGGGTCTCTAGGGTCTTAAATGCCAGCACAGAGTTTGAACTTGATTCTGTTGGCAGTGAGTAGCCTATGGTGGCAGGAGCAGGTGCCTGGGCCCCAGGTTTATCATGAGGGTACGGGACTGGGTCATAATAATCAGGAGCTGGCACAGTGACTCATGCCTGTAGTTCTAGCTATTTTGGAGGCTGAGGTGGGAAGATTGCTTGAGCCCAAGAGTAAGAGACAGCAGTAAGCTATGACTGCACCACTGCACTCCAGCCTAGGGACAGAGTAAGACTCTGTCTCTTAAAAAAAAAAAAAAAAAAATCAGATATTATTTGCTGCCTGTTATTTATTAAGCACAGTGATTGATAACATAATCTGAAATTATTTTCATGAGCCATTTGAAAGCCTACACAGTAAAGTTCTATTGGTGAGACTTTTAGTTAGGAAGACTTTAGGAAGATGTTTCTATGTTGAAGCTTTTTGTACTCAATATTTATGTGAGTGTTTTTGGATGTTTTGCTGAAGTTCAAGTATTTGGAAAATCATTCATGTTTACAATGTTTTTCTGTGGGAGGAACTGAGAATGAAAATCAAGAATCGTAACTGTTGTGTTAACAAGATTATGGTTATGTTTGAAGTGGAAAGCTGGCCTCACTGTGATGTTTGTGTTTGGTCTATGCCTACATGTTTTTACCATGCAGGAAACTAGAATATGAAGAGGGAGAGGGGAAATGATTTTTTTCCCCTAGTCTTTTTAACAAAGTAGAGATGATCTATGCCTATGATTTAAGTCTTTTTAGCTGGTGATAGTTTTGAGTCAGCAAAACTAGTAATAAGGACATTTTATTTTATTTTATTTATTTATTTTCTGAGACAGAGTTTTGCTCTTGTTGCCCAGGCTGGAGTGCAATGGTATGATCTCAGCTCACTGCAACCTCTGTCTCCCGGGTTCAAGCTATTCTCTTGCCTCAGCCTCCCGAGTAGCTGGGATTACAGGCATGCGCCACCACGCCCGGCTACTTTTGTATTTTTAGTAGAGACGAGGTTTCTCCATGTTATTTAGGCTGGTCTTGAGCTCCTGCCCTCAGGTGATCTGCCTGCCTCAGCCTCCCAAAGTGCTAAGGATATTTTAAAATTTAAGGACATTTAAAAATGTAGTTGAAAACTCTAATACAGTTCAACATGCTTTTAATTTTGTTAGTAGGCTAAGTGTATTGGAAGCTGCAAAATCAGTGTTATGGTAATTGCGGAAGTATTTTTTACCATTGGCAGTTGGGGAAATACGTTTATGTCGGTTTCATTCTTTCTGTTTTTTAGAGCTCATATTCTCTGCAGAAGATGTGACATATCCAGGCAGTGCATCATGATGCAAGGCAATACATGGTGAGTGTTGTGATGCGAATGGCAGTGGTTAGGAGAACAGAGAGAGGAACAAACATTGGTGCTGGCCTATAGAGGGTGGAAAGGGTTTAGATGCATGGGGAGAGGGGATAATATGCTCATTCTTTCAGCAGTGGGCACAGTACGACAGAGGGCCATGCACAGGGCTAGGAAGCCAGACCAGAACTGTTAATGGAAATCCCAGAGCCTGCCTTGAAAGCGCTTGCAGTTCCGAGGTGCGGTAGACATTAAAGGTGGAATTAGGTCCTTAGTAGGTGGATTGTAATTATTGTAAGACCTGCTAAGAAGCAACAGAGAGTGTTGTGAGAGTAAGGAACCTAATGAATCTCTGGGGGCAGTGACAGGGTTGCGGAAAGGCCAGCAAGGATATTATTGTAATAGTTATGCAGGAGATGATGGTGTGAAGTAGATTAATTCAGGAAGTATTTATGAAGCAGAAACAATAGGAATTTTTGTTTATTTTTTATTAAGGGATAGTTGCCATATAAGTGATAGCAATTTAAAAATAAAGTTTTAGCTAAGGATGGGGAGGTGAGGGAGGACAAGTCAGGTGATTGATTCTCTGGTATATGTCTTAAGGACCATTAATGGTGTCATTTATTGAGATAGGAAATACTAGGAAAAGAGCAAATGTTTATCTTGGAGGGAAAGGTAATTAGTTCCTTTTAGCATATGTTTTGTTGAATTTGCAGAGTCAGTGAGATACTCAAAGAGAGAGATCAGGTTGGCAATTGGTAGTGAGGGTCTGGAGCTCAGAAGTTGGGGGCTAAAGATATAACTTTGGGAGTTACTGACACATTGGTGGTAATTGAAGCAGTACAGGTGGGTAGTGTCACTTTGGAAGAGAGAGCGAGCAGAGGAGAAGCTGGTGTGAGGAACAGCCAGAGACGTAGGAAAGCCACAGTTAGGGCGTTATGTCAGGATGCCAAGAAACACATCCATGGGGGTGGGGGCTGGGAAGGCAAGCGGGGAGGCAACTGGACTGATCCAACAGAGATCAAGCAAGTTGATTGCAAATGACCTTTGGTTTTCAAGACGAGGCGGACACTGATCATGGCGCTCATTGGAGGGTGGCGGAAGCTGAAGTTGGATTAGAGTGAGTTGGAAGTATATGCACTTTTGTTTTAGCTTGGGCTGCCATGACTAAATGCCGTAGACTGGGTAACTTAAGCAGTAAACATTTATTTCTCACAGTTCTGGGGGCTGGCAGTCCGAGATCAGGGTGCCCGCGCAGCCAGGTTTCGGATGCACACCCTCTTCCTGCCTTGTAGGTGGCTGCCTTCTTGTTGTAGTCTCATCTGGCAAGGGGTTGTGGCGGGGATTTCTTTTCTCTTCCTCTCTCTATAAGGGTACTAATCGTATCGTAGTTACCTCTCAGATTCCCCACTTCCATATAGCATCACATTGGGCATTAGGCTTTTCTCGGCATGAATTTTGGGGTGGACACAAACATTCAGTCTGCAGCCACTTTTGAAGGGGAGGACACAGAAGGGGCAAAGTCAAGGGAAACCTGGAGGCCGAGGAAAGTACTTTATGCTGGAGTAAACCCAAGCACTTTCAAATGCTGATGCGAAGGGTCTGGTAGTGGGGAGACGTGTAAGATTGCAAAGGAGGGTGGTAATCCCAAATATGCATTTGGAGATGGGATCCAGAGCACTTGTGGCAGGATAGGCTTTGTCAGGAGGAGGGAATTGGGAGAGGCTGGAGTTAGATCCATTGTAGGAATGTTAGGAGAAGTCGAAGGAGTTCTTTTCTGATGGTTTTTGTGTTTCTCCTTGGT